TATGAAAGGAATGGGAATATCCCTGAGCCTAATAAGATTAGGTTTACCACAGGTACGAAAACCTTGGCCTTTGACGTTAAAATGGCCTCTAGTTGCACATTGAAAGGAATGGGAATATCCCTGCGCCTAATAAGATTAGGTTTACCACAGGTACAGGGAAGCACCATTAGCCCCACTCCTTCTGTTTCTGGTTTCATTACACTCCTGCAAGGATGAAGAAGAGCGTGCCCTATCCACGATGATTTCCCACATTGAGTCAGGCTGTTGCTTTTTGAGGCTCCTGATTCATGTGGAGAGCCCCCACATATAGCGGGCCCTCCTTCTCAGGTGAGGGAGTGACAAAACTGGAAGAGAAGGATGGAACTAGCACACTCCTCTCTTTTCTACTCATGGTAACCAAACTCTTTTTAATAAGGACTGAATAAGTCTTAGTGCATTCTTTTGTTTTTGTCTTGTTCTATTTAAGCTTATGGTACATCAATGTAATTAGAACTGTAAGCGAACTATAAGGACCACAAAGATCATCTGGTCCAAGTTAATCCATTGCTTTTTGGATTATTGGTGGCCATGGTGGCTGGTATTTCCTAGGAATTGTAGTCCAAACAATAATATTTTGAAGAACTCAACATACATTGTATTTACGAAAATTCTCTTTGTATCTTTAGTACTGTGCGTGATCTGTGGATGTAAATCTTCACAAATTCGTTTCTTCCCAATAGGAAAGAAAAATGTCAAAAGTTTTTTTTCCCCCATTGGATGAGATTTCGAGAGTCTTTGAGCATTTTTCACATTTCAGCACTTTTTTCCAAAAATTCACAGAAAGGGTATTGTGCAAAAAAAAATAACCTAGTGGAAAAGCTTTGTTTTTCACATGACATATACACATTTTGTGCAAACTTGAGGTTTTTGTTTCTGATGTTGTTATTTACAAAAAAAAGCTACTGGAACATTTCTTCAGTAGAGTGTGTCAGTGTGTTAAGATACGTGTTGTCATTGAGGACAATAACATTTCATCAAGGACCTTAATTCATCTTTTGTGTGATCCTTTTCCCATTGTTAAGGCCTTTAAAACCAATGGCATCTCTTCCTTGTGTCTTGATGTCCCTTTTCCCCATGTTAGATTTCTCCTCTCATGGACAGCTGCCGATGAAGCTGCTTTCCCCTTCCATTCTTTGCCTGCCCTATTACTTCGCTTCATTTCCTTTCCAATTTGAAAACTGTTTAACCCAGTATTAAAACCCCAGCATTATACATTTGTTTCCCCATAAGGTCTAGTTTCATTTTTTTTCTTTCCTCTTTTCTAACCTGAGCTTATTTCATGCAAAGCTCTGAGGGAAAGGAAATATTTAAAAGCTTTTCCAAGACTGCTGGGTCACATGCCAAGGTCATAACAAAGAAAGAAGTACTGTTCTCCTGGTTTATTTTAAATGATGTTATTCTGAGGTCAGTCAATCTTATAGTAAGGCTTTGCAAGAATTGCGTTAAAACAGGATTTTAAAAATGGACAACAGATATGTGTGGGTGTGTGAATGAGTGTGCATGTTCTTTTAATGTAATATATTCTCTAAAATTAATTCATTTTAATGGTTATTTAATTATTTAGGCTTTATTTAGGTTACAGTACCCTTCATCTCTTTGCTAGAAAAATTGAACAACAGTTTGTAAAAAGGTGATTACACCACAGATGAGCTTCCGCCATTTACATGTCAACAGCTTGAATTATGTGTCCCTCCATCACATCTGGATTAGGTACCTGAAGGCTCTTTCACACAGCACCCTTTAAAAAAAAACTGTACATGTTATACATTTAAATGTAAAAAATCCTATCGTGTATCTGTGCAACAAGCAGTCCTGGTCACATGTGCCCAAAAGGGGCATGGAAGGCAGGGAGGATGATGTTGGCCATGGCTTCAGCCTTCTTTCACATGTATCTATATTGGCTTCCACTATACATCCAACTTCTTAAGTATAATTAAGAAATAGGAAGCCTTGTTTCTTCATTGGATCTATGCCTCTATATTTTTCTCACTCTCTTCTAGCCACACTTTTTGAACTATGGAACACAGAATGCCCGGAACCTATTTTAGAGGGAGAATACTCTTTCTAGAAACTGATATTATGAGCATTCTCTTGTTAATATATAAAAAAAGGAAGCTGTCACAGTGCTTGCTTGGAGTTGTCGTCTCAGAGCCCTTTAAGTGGTAGAGGGTGCCTCCTCAAGAACTACCATTCACCGGTGGCCACTTCCCTTTTTGTCTATTAGCAACAGAAAACATGGCCTGAGATAGCACTGCAGCCTTGGAAATGGGTGAGCAAAATATAGGTGTCCATAGATGTGGGTTTGCAGGCTAGAACTTCCAGAATTCTCCCTGCGGACTTCCTGGAGATTAGAGTCCATAAAACACAACTGGTGCATTCCTGAACAATACTTCCCTAGTTAGTTTTCATTAATGAGTTAATTCACTCATTCTTCCCCAGTTGCTTGTAGGGTGGACAGGTTCCCTTCTTTGTTTGAAGACATTCCCACTCAAAGGGCTGTTAAGACTAAAAATAAAGCGATACAGGTTACAACAGCAGGAACCTTTCAGTGGTCCCTTTCAAAGTTAGTACCTGAACAGGAGACTGAGCACATTATATCGATTTATTTTCTGATTGGCATATTAATATCTCACCTTCTTTCCTGTGCAGCATCCATAAGTCTCCCTCTCCTCACTTTAGTCTCACAACCACCCTATGAATTAAGTCAGGATGAGAGAGTATAATTGGTATAAATTTATCCACTGAGTTTCTTGGACAAGTCAGCAATTTAATCCAGGTCACCTGGTTTTTAGCCCTGTATTTTAACTATGACATTACACTGGCTTTCTTACTCATTCCCAGGATGGTGATATGTATCAAATTTCTATTTGTATTACAATAATTCATTCTACATTTGTGCTTATAGATATAAATTAGCATGTTTGTTTGTTTGTTTGTTTGTTTGTTTGTTTGTTTGTTTGTTTGTCATTACACTTCTTACTCATTCCCAGGATGGTGATATGTATCAAATCTCTATTTGTATTACAATAACTCATTCTACATTTGTGCCTATAGATATAAGTTAGCATATTTATTTATTTATGGCTGAAATATTTCAATTTATTTATTTTATTTATTTATTCCATTTATACCCCGACTATCTGGTCATTACGACCACTCTAGGCGGCTTACAACTCACAATACAAAATATGAGAACAATACATAAATAAAAAGGAATTTTTACACAATTAAAGAATTCTATAAGATGGAAAGCAAACAAAATAAATCATAATAGAGAAAGCAAGGGAGAAAGTCAGGAATTAACCGGGGGGGGGGAGGCCTGCCTAAACATCCAAGTTATTAGTGGGTTTTTAAAAAATACCCAGGGAGGTGTGTAAATCTACAGAGGCAGAATGTTCCAGAGGCAAGCAGAGGATATGCAAATTTTTGCAGATAGGTTCTTTTTTTCCCCTCCCCTTTTTTGTTAGAAATGTATGAATGACAACTAGAGATGGACACAAACCACTTTTTGGTGGGTTTGGTTCATTTCCTGGCCAAACAGCTGATCTGCAGTTCAACACTCCACCTCGTCTAGCCACTCGGTGACAACGTGCTGCTGCTGAGAAAGATACTCACTGGAGGGGGCAGGTCAACGAACTGCAGATCAGCTGTTCGGCTGGGAAACAAACCATGCCAAACCAGCAGTTCATGCCCATCTCTAATGGCTCAAGCCATTGGTTCCCAGATAGCTACCTTGTTTCTTCACTGGGGTTCACTTAGGTTATCAATGACCTTAGGAAGCAAACCATTGCTCCAGCCTCTTAGAAAGACTTTGCTGGCTCCCAGGTGTTAGACATTGTTGCCATAATTTGCAGTGTTTAGCAGAATTTAGAGCCAGTCCAAGCGGTCCAGTAGAATGACACACACACAGGCAGCTTCTTCCCAACACCATGTATATTTACAAGTTTGTACAGAAGTTCTAGCAGCCCAAACCAACAGCATAGTACTCATCAGGACGAGATCCAACATCTTCTCCACATGCCCCACACATTTATATATCCACGTATATTTACATATGGCCAGTCAGTAAAGATATTCCATCACTCCATCATTACTTCATATTACAATACACATCTTGCATGAATCAGCACTTTGCCCACCTCTCCAATGTGGGCTGCTGATTGCCACAGGCCTGGTTCTGTCTCAGCTTGGAAATCATCCTCGACAGACATTCCAGCCTTTCCCATCACAATAGTGTGGTTATGCACAAAAGCTAAGTTTATTTTTTTTAAAATTGCCTCCTGTGTGCACACCAACAAAAGGTTGGTGTGTGCTCTCTTTATGGAAGAGTGGCCAGTTGAGATGGGCCAAGGAAACTTCGATGCGTGAAGGAGAGCCCTAGAGAAGAACACCCACAATTATTTCTCTCTTTATACAAAACAAAGACCTGGCTGCATTTGTATTTTCTGTATGCCCTCTGAAGAAGATGAGCTCTAAAATTTGTTCGCTGTTTATCATCATGTACGGCCTCACAAAAATGAAAGCTCACACTACAGGGAGTGCATGTTTCTAATATTAAAAAAGAGCCACCATCGCCAAAACAACAACGACAAGAAGCCCACAACCAGCCTAGCATTTATATGTATAGCGAGAGCTTCTTTTATTAGTTCCATACAAGGTGTACATTTCTTGTGATGTAGTAGCTATGGGTTTAACAAGTAAACTTTAACAGCTGGCTTTTATCTAGGAATTAGCCATCTGGACTGAAATGGACCCTGCATTATTCCAACAGCCACGATACAAGATTGCTGCATATTCCGGAAGCTGTGTAATCATTCTATTAGGGCTTTCTCTGCTGCCACATGAAAGTGTGGCCTTTAAGAGCCTGAGCAATTACGCTGTAAGACCATCAGGCGATTCTAAAACCTCCTTTGTGTGTGGTGTGTTTTTCATGTTGCTGTTTTTTTCAAATCTTTCTGCAGGTTTGGATCTTCGGCAGGCTCAGGTTATTGTGCTGACATCAGGTACCAAATGCATAAATGGAGAATACCTTAATGATCAAGGCCTTGTGGTCAACGACTGCCATGCGGAGATTGTGGCAAGGAGGGCCTTCATCCACTTCCTTTACTCACAGCTGGAGCTGCACCTGAGGTAAACAGGACTTGGATAATAATTGTGGCTATCAGAAAGTTCTAAAGTTGGTCATGAAGAGCAAGGGAGAGATTTTTTAAAAACTGCTTTTGACTTCCCCAAGTTAATAAAGGAGTGTTAAAACTGGGCAATGCAAAGCCATTTATATTCCGAAAATGAATTAGGAACATAAGCCGCATCCTGTCTTCCACAGTGGCCAACCAGGTGCTTATGGGAAGCACATCAAAAGCAGGATGTGAGCGTAACAGTACCCACTCAAGTTTCTCAGTAACTGACACTGAAAGGCACGCTATTTTGATATTGGAGGTGTGATACATTTGGATTACTAGTGACCGATAGTCGGTTTTTCACAGATACACCTTTTAATAAAGAATAATTGTGTGCCATCAAGTTGATTCTGGCTAATGGAAACCCTTTCTGAGGTTTTCCAGCTGTAGGGTACAAAGATGTAGTTTGGCCTTCGCTTTTTCTGAAGGCATCTAGAGGCTGCAGCTTGCTCAAGGCTACACAGGGTGGTTCTCCACAGTGATGAATCAAACCTCTGAACTCTGGCTCTGCAGCCAGGTACCTAAGTCCACCATGTTGTATTTTGTATGTCCCTCTCTTTTCGCCTTTCCTTTCTTTTTCCCCCCTCCTCACTTGCCTTTTTTTCCTTTTACATACACTTTTTTCCTCACATGTGGTTTGAGATAATACTTTTGTTGAAAGGTGACTAAGTTCTTGGCCATCACCCTATCTCATGCTAGTCAGCTTCATTGCTTGAAGAAGTACTTTTTTTCTATCTTAAATCTCTGAATTTTTACCGTATTTGCCGGCATATAAGACGACTGGGCGTATAAGACGACCCCAACATTTTCACTCAAAATATAGTGTTGGTTATATACTCGCCGTATAAGACTACCCCCTCCCTCTGCCTTTTACCCCACTGGAGGGGCCAAAGAGGGAGAAGAAGGAAAGCAAGTTTGTGGGGTGGGCTATCAGCTGGCCTGAGGCAGAGGCCAGCACCTGCTTGCTTGCCTGGCCTCCGGAGATCTCCTCGGGAGCCCGGCGTGGCGGCGGTGCTGGTGACGAGTGGGGCGGCGCTGGCTTGCCACAGGCACCGTTTATTTGCCAGCTTCTCTCCGCCCGGGCAACATGGTGGTAGGTCACGGGGAAGAAGGCGGCGGCGCTGCTGCTGTTTTCCGCAAGGGCAACTGTGTCGAGGAAGTGACTGAGCCGGTGGGGACCGAGCTCCGCCCGCTTCCCGGGCTGGGCTCACCTCTCAATGCTGCTTCCTGCTGGGCCATGCCGCCTCAGGAGAAGAGGCACCACCTCCGCCTCCTCCTCTTCTTCTTCCTCCTCCTCTTCCTCACTCACCTCTCCTCTTTCCTCCTTGCACTACGTGCTGCCCACTCTGGGTGCACCCAGCATATAAGATGACCCCCCCACTTGGAGGCATGTTTTTCAGGGCAAAAAAGTTATCTTACACGCTGGCAAATATGGTAGTTTCACTAGATAACCAAAAGATGTACAGTTATAAGCGGGAGAAATTTTTTATATGCACATTCTCTATGCCAGAGGTGCTGGTCCGTGGCCTGAGCTGGACTGGTCATGAAGACAGACCTCCCGCCCCTGCACACACTCCTCTCCCCACAGCTGCTTTGCGCATGTGCATGCGTGCCAGCACCAGCGTGAGTGCTCCCCCACCCCTTCACGCATGCGCCTGAGTGCCCGTGTGCCCCTGCACATACGTGGTGGGGGTTGCTCATGCCGGCGCTGGCGGGCAGGTGCTCCCTCACCGCTTCATGCATGCACCCGAGAGTGTGCGCGCAGGGGGGGCTGCATTCCTCGGAGGCTCAGCCAGTCTGCAGTCCCAAAAAGTTTGGGGACATGCATCATTTTATAGACCTCTGTCATGTCCCTATTGATACCCAGTGTGGTGTAGTAGATAGAGTGATAGACTAGGACTCAGGAGGCCTGAGTTCGAATCACTGCTGAGCCATGGAAGCTCACTGAGGGCATGAAACTGGTAAAGCCACTCCTTAAATATCTCACTTACTGTACCTTGAGGGCTCCTGATAGAAGAGCCGCCTGTGTCGTCATGGGCAAGCTGCACAGTCCCAGGACACTCCCAGAAGAAGGGGATGGTAAACCGCTTCTGTGTACTCTCTACCTAGCAAACCCTGGAAAGGGTCACTTGATGGCACACAGCTGTTGTTACACTGTTGACATGTGAAGCTGGCCCTTATTTTTTAACTGTCTTTTTTATAAAAAAATTTTTTATTTTTTACAAAACTTAGTATCTGCAAACATTAGACTTTCCCCAGGCGGGCTTGTTCGAACCTCTTGTTCATTTGGCTTGCCCTTTTCT